CCTCAAAATTTGAGGTTTTACGTATCACGATATGTAGAACTCGAAAATTGTATAAAAAAAATTTGGCCAGTCCACCGTCGTACGTACGCCGGGGACCAAAAGCATCTTTTTGGGGTGGTTTAAAGAGAAACGATATGAGATAGGTAACAGTTAATTGATTTTAACAGCTCTGTTTGAGCTGAATCCATTGCATATCTGAAACGTGTTCGTGCGATCAATCCTTGATGAAAATTTAAGAGCTAAACTAAAATATTAAAATAAATCTTTATTTTTCATTTAAATCGAAAGAACTAATTGTTAAATTTTTTTTTTGAGTATTTATATTAAAGTTTTAAGAGTATTCTACGAAACTGTTCATAATAATCGATAACAGATTCACTAAATATATAAATAACATTATTTTTTTTTTAATTGTGACTAAACTCTAAAAATCTACTATAGAGTATTCAGTATGACTACATTTCTTTCTTTACTTATTTCTTCGTCTCGACATGTTTCTATTCTCGAATTTGAAATATACTTTTTCGTTTCCTCGACACTTTTTTTTTAAATTTTTTTATTTACACATATAATATTCTGTCTAGTGGGCAATGAATATAGTGATAAATGAACACATTCACACCATATATACAGCAAATATAAAATTAACAAAAGTTATATAATAATAAAAGAAACTATGTACAATAAAATAACCTAAAGATAAGTAAATTAAAAACATAAAAACTCATGCCTATATACAATATATACAATCAGGCAGGGAACCCAAAGCCAGGCTTCTCCCTCCAACTATAGAAGAAAAAGCAGCTCTAATCCTCGACACATTAATAAAAAAAAAAAAAAAATTAGTTCAACCAGTACTTATAAGATAGGTTTATTTATTTTATTTTATTTATTTATTTTTATAACATACTACAATGAATAGTACATTCCTATCAAGATGGCGTCCACAACATCTGTACCGTTGACTGTTGCGCCTAAACGAATGTACCAATTTAGATGATACTGGCTAAATTCTCCTCCTTTGAAGCCCCTTAAATTTATCTATTTAAATATACTCCGCCGAAAAGAATGCATTGTAATAAAAATAATTGCCTAAATATATATTTTATTTATAATAATAAATAAATTTACAATAACGATTTTTTATATATTTTTCAAGTAAAGTAGTTATGAAATTGTGTTTTATTCCACGTCTCTGTCATAAGAATTGATCTTTATTTATAAGTGTAATGTTTCTAGCGCTAATATTTACGTTTTCGTGAAAATGATTGATGCAATAAGTAGGTTTCTTTATTTTAAACCAATAAACTAAAATGTAAATTTTAGAACAAGAGACATTACGTTTGTCACTGATGAATGCGGCGAATTCCTATTACAGTAATCTGGAAGAAAAAAACAATTTCATAACCACTTTAAATGAAAAATATTTTTAAAAAACCATTATTTTTATTTGTCTAAATAAAATGTGTATATTGGAAATTTATTTCATTACAATACATCCAAAATCATAGAAAAACAAGAAATAAAAGCTTTGCAATAGTTAATTGTAATCATTTTTGCTGAAAACAGCAATTTTCATGCATTTGCAGCATTTTTGCTGCACTTTTAGGAGATTGGATTGAAAATCATTTCTATACACAACCTAAAGTGAATTTAAATTGTTTTCCTAATAAACCTCAATTTAATTAATATAAACATAAAACTTATTAAATGAGGTAGTTTTTCTAAAAGTGTAGTACATTATTAAGTTTGATATAAAATGATTTTTTATTATAATTTTTTAATATACTTGTAAATTTTAATGTTTTATAAGAATACTTATTTTGGTTAAGACTCAAATAAAGAATATTGTTAGCTAGCGATGTTAAGAAAGACGACCCCGGAATTAAATGAGTGACGGGGACAGTGGACTATTTCTGGTTTTGTGTTATACCGCGAGGAATGGCTGCCAAGAATGCGTATTGAGATCTGGTCCCTGAGTCCTTCAAGGGCTGCGTGGAAATAACAAACACAATACCTTCTCCTTCCTTCCCCTTCTCCCTCGAAATCCCTTTCGGTTCTGCACACATGTACGCTCAAACACACACACGGATACATTTGTATATGCTATGGTGATTTTAGACCTATCTTCTCGTATTCATAGGTATATCAGCTGAAGCCAATTGTTTGTTAATATTTCTGTACGTCCGTGTAGATTAGTTTGGAATTTTTGGTAAATAGTCATTCTGTTGGTCAATTGTTAGCAGGTAGTCGTTATGTAGAGTTTTGTTTGTCACGTACCAAGGTATTTTTAAAGGAAGGAGATATTCCGGGGCGGCGGTCATAAATAGGCTAGATAGTGGTAAAATTATTTTTATTCTTCCATTTTGGTTTTTATTCACATTGTACTCTTATCTATAATCTCTTAATTCTATTTATATGTATATGTATATATTTAAAATTTAATACTTCATAGATATAGTACTTTTCCATTGTATCCATCCATATCTTCAAATTTTAGATACAGTAGTTTTCTAGGTTTTTCTCCATTACCTAAACAAGTCAGCTTCCCCTATACCTTCCCTTACCCTGTTTTTTTTTTCAGTTCTAAGTGTAACTCATAGCTGAACACACCTGTAAGTCTCTAATTTTATTCTTCCAATTTTATTTACTTACTTATTTAATTTGTTAGTTTTCTTTTTCCTTTGTTTTTCTCCACACTCCTTTATGTCTATTATTTCATATTATATCCTTTTTCCTTTTCTTTCAATCTCTCCTGTAGATCTGTAGAAGTATATTCACATTTGCATTTATCATATATTACACTACAACAATTGTTAGCATCTATTTACTTTAGTTTAGGATCTTGTTACTTAGCTTACTCTGTTCATATTTTAATTTACTTACTGTTTATAATTTTAATAAGCTTATTAACATTGTTTATAATATTTTGTCTTAATATTATGTAACTTCCGCAATTATCTATATTTTTGTATCTTGTCCGTTCTAGCCCTGAAGAAGGCCTGCAAAGTAGTCGGCTTTTAATAAAAATAGTTTTATCACTGTTTAGCCTATTTATGACCGCCACCCCTGACCATCTCCTTCCTTTATAATGCAACGATCACCTATTAAATATTCAAGGTATTTTTGTTTTGAGTCTTATTGGCGTTTTTGTTAGTGGTATCTTCAACGGTTCAACGTGATCTTGTCCAAATAACCTTAGACAACCTTAGACCAACTACTGAATCCAAACCCATCATGGATTTTAATGGTATAGGTTCTTATTTACTTATACGCATTAACCCCGAAATCACACTGAAATATTTTGTCATATACATTTTTTTTCTGTTTTATTTACAGACCTTTTGCACCTATTCTTATTCTACACTAATTATTTCCAGTTTTCCTGAATTCCAGCAAAGCTTACAAACTGGAATGCAGAATTTCGGCCTTCCACGTAGGCTCTTGCCTACTGTAGAAGCATTAGGCTCATTCTCGTGTAGTTGCTACCCAATTTATCATTTCGAGCTATATTCCCCGCCCATCAAAACCTCCTTGCTTCATTTTAGTTTCTGTAATCTGTTCTTTATTGGTCCTTCTCCTTTATGATTTATTACTCTTATTACAGATAGCTCTCACGATTTTTCTCTCAATCTTCCAATGCAATTCTAGAGTGATGGTTAGTGTCTAGTTCGCGCAGGTGTACACCAGAACCACTGAAAATTGATCACATTTATTTTATATGCTATAACAAGAACAGACCTTCATTTGAAATTTCTAAAGGTCTTTGGAATTTCTATACCTTTAAAGAGAGGGAAAAGTTTGCGCAGATCAATTTTCATTTATTCATTCATCGAGGTTATTGTAATGTGGATGTTCAAAAAGCTAAATTCAAAAGCTAAATGTCCACTATTTGAAAAACAAATCACATTGTTTCGCCTCAAGTCATAAAATGGCGAATATAAATTACTTTTATCTTTTCAATTTACATTTGTCAAGGAATTATTTAAGAAGTGACCAATTAAAGTTTATGTTTATCGATGATATACATCTATAAACATGCTATTTAATAGATTTCTTATTTAACGGGAAGATGTTAAATTGTATGTATAATTTATTTGAGGATGAATCAAGCCAGAAATAACATGAGATATATTGAAGTATTATTTCATATTTGCCATTATAGGAAATTTTTTTTAATTTAAAAAACAAAACAAAAAATACCTCAGTTATCCTTAGCCCTGATTTTTTAATATTACTGTTAAGTTTATATTATAGTTAACTTATGTATTAGTTACTTCTTTTTTCTTCTTATATTTACATAATTTTATGTACATTATTTTACTCACGTAATTTTGTATTTTTTAATTTTCACCTCCGACTCAAATGGTTGTAGCGAATACAATAAAAAATGTTTGTTTTTTAATCATCAAAATTATAAAGAATGCACCATTTTATTTTTTCTGTTGGCATAGGCCTTCAGATATTTTACCGCCTTGACCAGCCTGCTCCATCTCTGCCTATCTTGGGATATTTCATTTTAGTTATCTGCATACTCTATTGCATCTTTGTTAATAAGTTCTATCTGGTTTTTGGACTTCCACTTGGTCTTTTAACTATTATTGAGGCATTCATCGTTGAGTAGAGGCTTCCTGAAGGATTGTTTCGAGCTATCGTACATAATCTCCTTGCCTTCATATAATGAGATATTGACTGATAAGTTTCTGTAAGCAGTTCTTTATTGTCGCTCTCCACGGGTTAGTACTCTGACCGCATATCACTCCGGTTTATCGTGCGGAGGATTTTTCTCTCAAATCTTTCTTCTTTATACGGTGCTGGTTAGTATCCAGATCATGTTTTAATATCCAGAATTTGTTTTCTTTCGAGAACCATTTTCATTATTTGCAGATCCTATTGCTTTTCAGCTTATTATTAAATGTTTGTTTTATCTTTTATATATATATATTGAAACCATTTGAGGTTTAATTACATAATAAAGCAATTAAATCATTGTTTTCTAGGTGAAAGGACTGAAGCAATGCAGGGTCAAACTTCTTCAGCAATTTCTTCTAATAAATCTTGGTCAACGATGGTCATACATATTACATCATTTTGGCTACTCGGGAAGTTCCATTTACTGCATTAAAAGAAGAAAATGACGTAAATAATATTTCGGCTTTTAAATACTCTCCTCTGTAATTTCTATTATCATTATTCGAATGTCTCGTTTTCTTGTCACAGATATTTTTCAACTGTTACTCAGAAATAAATCTCATCAGTTGGCCATTTTGTAAATATCTTGTATTAATTGTATATATGTATTAAAAATTTTCACATTTATGTGTATATATTGTAAATAGCGAAGGATTTTATTTTTTAAGAATATTGGCAGTAACATTTTTATGTTAGCTGTGTGTTGTGTTATAGATACGGCGAAGGCTAATTTATGTACACATAAAAGTAAAATAACTTTTCATATTCAGGTATTAATTGTTTTCCTGATTTAAATTTATTATATGCACCTTTTAGTAATTTTATATTTTATTGAGATATAACACTTTTATTTGCTGGTAATTAATAAATGTCTTAAAATAGTTATTTTTACTATAAATGCAAATTATGATCAATGAAACATGACACTATAAACATTTATATTACTATCGGTAAAATATTTTATAAGCTACTATTGTATAAGTAAAATTTAAGTCATATTTTTTAGAAATGTGAGCACATTAATACAATCATTAGTAATTCTACTATTTATTTATTTTTTTTTATTCATTTACAATTGAAATTTATTTGAAAATTTCGACAGGATATTTACTGATAAATATATGAATTATAAATCCAGATTTAGATATGTACCATTCATAATAGTGATTCCTAAATAGGATTATTTATTACTAATTAAAGGATAAGTATTAATTATGGTCAAAGTTTTATTGTAATATTTATTTTTAGTTGAATACTTTTTTATATGTAATTCAAATAATATCCTGTAAATTTGTTACCAACATTCGTATTTAGTTTTAGATTTATAAACCTCGGAGGCTTAATCATGCATAATTAGTAAATTTATACTTATAAGCATAATGCCACAGTTCTATTTTAAAGTAGTTGGAGGAACAATGATAAGATTAAAAATAGTACACAATAAATATATAGAAATAGAAATCATTGAAGCATAGAATATGTATTAAAACCACACGTACTCAATTCCTGTCATAGAATTTAATTCAGTATTAATTATTAGTTTAATTAAGTTTTATACTTTTTTTAATTTCAATTTTAGTTATATTTCTTTCAGGATTTTGCAAGAATAAATCTGTCATTTTATTTTAGTTACTTAATTTTCTTTAAGTTTTAACCAATTGTAATTTTTGTCTTGTTATGTAAAAAAAAAAAATGTTTTTACTTTTATTAAACTTATAAATATACAATTTCAAATTAAAGGTACAAATAATTAAATACAAATTTTAAGAAGTCTAATGCAGATAATTTCAGTTATCAAGTATATATTTAAGTTAGTGTTGTGTATCACTCATATTTGTTTTAAAGAATATAATTTCTTTCTTCATCTAAATATCATTCTTGATTTTTTTCTAAAATTATATTTGTTATTAGTTTATTTTCCTAATTGAGCAGTTTTATTTATTTTAAAAAAAATAAACTGAATTAATTTATATATTTGTTGCATTTAAGAAAATAAAATTGTATTTTCACATTGCAGCTTTCAACTTTGACCCAAATGGAGTGTATTTATCTTATTATTATCTATTTATTTTTCAACATGTATATAGAAAAAATATATTTTTATTTTACATGATTTTGTATTGTATTTGAAATTTGAAAAATCTTAATCCCTAAAATACATTTCAATATTAAACTTTAATTCCGAATGAATCTTAATCCTGAACATTAATTCAAATTTATATTTTTTTTCAATTTCAATTTTTTCAAATTCAATTTTTTTATTTTAAACATAAATTTTAGTGAAAAAACATTTTTTGTCACTCAAAAATACAGACAATTTTCCATAATGGAGATTTTGGTGAAAACGTTTATAACAAATTTATCCGAAATATATTTGAAAAATCAATATTATTCGAAATATTTTTTTTTTTTAATAAATTGTGTGTTTAGACAATTGGGTTTATTGAAGTACACCTCAGATCAAGGAAAATAAACAATAAAAGCTTTGCAACAATTAATTGAGGTAATTTTTGCTGAAAACAAGGTTACTTTTACTTGACAGGATAAAAATATCATTTTTTTTTTTTTTCAAAACTTGAGCTGTATCACATTTTTTTTCTTTTATAAACCTCAACTTAATTAATACTAACTTAAAGCTCGTAAAAAGAAGAAGTTTTTGTAAAAGTGGGGTAACTGTAGTATAGTTGAATGAGAAAAAAAAGGCGAATAATTTATGATTTTTCTGAAAACAGTATTAAACTTAGTTTAGTCGTTCAAATGCCATAGTCTGTGGTACAGACATCTTTTTTTATCGAATTATTAACATCCACCTGGAACTTTGTAAATAGTTTTATATCATCGTAACCTACAACTATTTTGTTTACGAAAATTCTTGGAATTGAGATAATTGGTGGCAAGCTTTGTCTATTTAATTAATAAATTGATAATTAATAAATACCCATTTGCTTTCTACTTGGATCGTAATATAATTTAATCACAAAAACGATAAAAAAAGATGGCCTACAAAGATATTGGGCAGTTTGTCTTGTATAATCTCGTTATTTTGAAAATTGGGGGATGTAGGTCACGCCAAACTGTGTAATATTTTTTAAGGCCACCTTTTTTCTCCATTTTGTGATCAAATTGTATTACAATCCAAGTAGAAAATAAATGGGTATTTACGAGTTTTTATTAAGTAATTAAATAGACAACTAGATTGAAAACGCCCTGATTCCTAGAGTTTTCGTAAATAAAATGGTTGTAAATTACGGTGAGATGAAACTATTTACGAAGTTTTAGGCGGATGTTAATAATTCGATAAAAGGATGTTTGTACCACGGACTGTTATAGATAAATGGTTTGAACAATAATAAACTCTATTTAAATTAAATTTTATCTTATTTACAATGAAAACAATTATTAAATTAAATATTTTCGTAGTTATTGCCTTCGATTAAATAAAAAAAAATTACTCACTTAATTGAACCACAAAACTTGTATTTCCTAACTTTTCTACTGAAAATTGGCCCATTGAATATGAATTTTTTTGTAGCACTTGAGTACTGCTATCAATCCTATTAAAATTTTTACTTACCTGACATCCTGTTCATTTATTGAGGTGATAACGTACGTTCATGTATTGTTACGACAATATATAAAAACACGCACAGATCTGTCTGGTGAACGTATAATTTGGGTTATGAAAAATGTAGTATTTTACATATTTTAGTGGTTATTGTTTTATTTTTTAAAATTTTAAATCTAGAAACCCGAAAAACAAGCCGCTGGCTTAGTGACTGCTTACGCTCAGCGTCAAATGCGGCGTGAACCTCCGACCAAGGAAATGTTTATTAATAAACTAATTATTAGGTCGAGCTACGAGTCTTTGGCAAGGATTTACGTCCTTCGATGGCTTAAATAAAAATATTAAGTGACAGCAAAATTGCTTAAAAATGACAGATGAATTTTATTTTTAAATTAAGAAAATCTAATCTTTACAATAAAATAGAAACATTGTTAAAATATTTTTTTTTTGTATTAATCAATTATATATGGGTGTACAATGTATATATTATTTATTCCTTGATCTAGTTTTAAAATAAAATGAAAGATATTCAGGAAGAATTAATGTTTACCAATATTTACACAGAAATTCCGCTACAAAAAATTGGTGCGGTGCGCGCATCCCACCACTTTCACTCTTCTTAGAAGAAATAAGTATTTTCAAATAAAGGAGAAGTGAAAGTAAAAATTATAGACGCTCTATTTATTTTTATTTCATTGTGGTTATGTTTATTTGTATAAATACCCTCTTATATATACAAATTTTGATATTTATATCAGTGTAATCTATACAATTAAAGTATTTAATAATAATACCAACAATAGCATTTATGAAAACCGTATATTTATATTTATCTAATATTGTCGGAGTCCGTATTATATTAAGCTCACGTTACGTATGGAAGCCTGTTATAATCTTTCGGGTGAGCTTGGGGGTACGATCAATTACAACTGTTCTCCGTTGCGATTTTATATTTGACTATCTTTTGTATTAGAGATTAATGTGAAATAGTCAATTGTTTCAAATAAAAAAAAAATTAGAAGTACTTTAGCGGAATCTAATATTAAAAATTAGCCATTTAAGTCCGGTTAGAGAACATCAATCATAATAAAAACTACATTTTATTTAAAACTACTTAATTTTATTCTGATATGATGAATTTAATCAAAATCGTTAGAGCCGTTTCCGAGAAAATTGTAATAATATGTTTAGCTCACGATAAAAAGTGGCACTTCCGGGCAGTCGATTTTGACGAAAAAGTTACTGTAACATCTCTAGCATATAAAACCCTTAAATATGCAATTTCGCTTCCATACGACTTTTCATTTTTGAGTTAGATTGTTAATACACACACACACACAGATCATTTTACGGAACTTGGTTATTTGGATTCAAGGAACCTCAAAACGTGTATTCGGTTGAAAATACTTTTCTTTACTATATACTTCATATATAGGTAAGTGAAAGTAAAAATTAAATAAGCTATCGAAATCAAACAGTGATTAAATTTGCTAAGGTTCATGATAAAAGGGACTTCCAGGAGGTCTAACACTACCGCTGTACAGAGATATGTTGCTTGTGTATGGATACTGTAACTACAACAGTATAGAGGCCGTATGAGACCTCTTGAAACTCCTTTTCCTCCTCCGTTCGGCATTGGCTAATATATCAAGTGAACGTTTTTGTTGGAATTTTTTGGATTTAGAATCACACCCAAGAATTTGGCCATTAAAAATTGAGGCACATTACATAAGAATAATATTGATAATAAATATTGAAGAGAAAGGTCTGGTGAATGGAAGAGTGTGGCGAAAAGGTTCCATCCAAGGCTCAATAATTTAGTGCGAGTGACCAATGAGGTGTGGGACCTAGCGTTGTCTTGGTTGAACACAACACTCTTCCGATTGTTCATAACCATTCAGGATGTTCTCCAAATTTTATGTTACTATATCCGTTGGAAAGCTGAATTATTGCTCTTCCAAGTCGTATGAATGTTTTTTTAATTTAATGAATACATAAGGAATAAATAAATGAAAACTCCTTGTAGGTTTTTATTTTTTATCTCCATTTGTACGAAGGTCATTTTGTGTAGCTTATGTGGCCCTAAATTTCTTTTCGAAAAAAAATCATGTGAGGGACCCAAACATTAAGCCTGGAAACATAGCCGAGCTTGTAAAAATGGTTTCCTACACATTTAGGACCAAAGCAAACTCTCTCACTAAATACCGGAAGAAATATCTCCTCATCCAAAGCAATAGCACTTTCCTCCAAGGGCTAGCTAATCTGGATAGGGATACCATTAAGGCATTTTGCAAATTTATTGAAGAATCCAAAATATATTTTTTAAAATAAATAATAATAATGTACTTCTATATCTTCATTGTTATTTTAATATAACAATAAGGGCAGTATAGGACTTCAGTGGGAGTTCTGGTCCGAAAAAAAAAAAGACTCACTGATTGGGTGGAATTTTGATCAACAATGCCCTTAACATTGCTCGTTTCAATTTCATGTGGGCGAACTTGGCAAACCAATTTTGACAGGTGCGTTCGGTTAAGGCATCATCCCCATGAGCACTGGAAATTTTTCTATGAGCTTCTGCAGCATGCTTATTTTTTTTAAATAATAATAATAATAATCTTTTATTTAAATACAACAAAATATGCCGATAATTAATGATATTTTATTGCATGTTCGCAGTGCTATATCAAACAAAATACCAAGCTAGTTTCAACAAGAGTTAACAGCTATAGTTGTTGACATATTGCAAACAGGATAAACAATCCACCTTAAGGAATAATTCATCAGATAAGAAGTGTATCATAGTGACATAAAAATAAACAGAAAACCGAAAGGACTTATTTGCCACCCCAATATAAAATACCAAGGCTAACGCAACGAATTTAGCGATTAATGTATTAGTGTTAACCCTTTTTTATTTGTTTAAACTTTTTTTGTCTAATTATAGTTATTTTAAATCAGCGATAGTATAATAATTACATGAAAAAAATAATATTCTTGATAGTCATGAGGAAAAACAGCTAGGAGTGGCACCTCTTACGTGGATTTTATTTACTTAGGTAATTATGTGAGTGGATCCTTTGTCCAGACGGTATTAAGTCCTCTTCTCGTATTTTCCGGAAGAGAGTTGTGTCCCTTTCTTCTATTAACCTAGTTGGAGTGTTTGTTTTAACCTGTTATGAAATCATTTGTATTACGTCCCTGTTTAGTAAAACGTATTTTTAAAAGCATATAATAAACCTTTTATGAATATTCATAACATTTAAATATGAGAAAACGGGTCTGCAAGTCGGACCATGCTACCTGAAAAAATGGAGGCTGATTTAAAGAATATAAGGCCAGTAATTTGAGGATTAAAATACCTCAGAAACTAAAAATCAGGCCTGCATACTGTAAGCGAAGAAATTGTTCAGCATTTCATCCTCTCCGAAATAGGCTATAATTAAAATTTGTATCTGAAGAAGACGCCGTGTTAGGGAGGCAAAAAGGAAAAAATAGTGTGGAAAATCAAATGATAACGAGTTTAATTGAATATATGGATTAAAATA